CAAAGAATATAATGGTGTCAATAACTCATTTTGGGGTTTTTGAGCCCGAAGCACCTTTTTGCTAGGATGGAACCCATCTATGTCCTGATATGCATTTTGATAATTAAGATGAACAGCATTCAAAGAACCTCTAATGCCATTTATAATATTGATAGGATTATTTAATGAAGTACCAGCGCCTCTAAGATGATTTTCAATACGATTCAAGCCTCAACCAATTTGTATAAAAAGGTCAAGATTTGCCATATCTGTATCTTCCTCTTCTGAATTATATAAACTTGGAGAGCTTCTTTGAGAAGAAATAACTTTGAATCTATGCCTTAAATTTTGAACCCACCCTTCTGATTCTTGTAATTGCTTCTCTATAATATCAGTATAGGATACCTTATCTTGAATTTCCTTTTTAGCTTGATATAAGCTTCTTTTAAGGGATGATATCTCCGATCTCAACTCCACCTTTTCTTTCTCCAAAGCGTTCTCAAGCTGTTCCAGTTCTTTATTGAGAGATTGGATTTCTTTCTCACACCGGGTGTACTTACATTCCAGATCCTTTATATATTTCTCATTCGATTTATTGATGGCTACCTCTGATTGCAATATCTCCTGGAGTTCTTGGTTAATTTGTTCTAGCTCAAGTTCTTTATCCGTAGCTGATCTATGAGTTGATCGATTAGGGGTCAGGATCTATGGAATGTCATGGTTATTTTTTACGGCATATTATATCTTTCATAGAAAGGAGACTTTGTCTCTTGACTTATCTCCGACTTTGCTAAACATAATTTTTAGTATAATGAATAATATCAAAAATGAGTAAATTGAGCAAGCCTATTATTAGGATCAATCCAGATGAGGAATTGCAAATTGTCCTGAGCAAAATTTATTATACTCCGTCTGGTTTTTTCTCCAATGCAAAAGCATTAAGATATGCATGTAAAAAATAAGGATATATTTTCCCATATAAAAAAGTTCATGAATGGTTGCATAACCAGAACGAATGGCAGAAATATGCCCCAGCACCAAAATATATTCCACGAATCAGTTATGGGAAAATTACACATCCAAATTGTGTACATCAGTGCGATCTCTTATTTCTTACGCATGATAAATATAAGGGGAAGACATGGAAAGCAGTATTACAAATTATAGATGTGACTAGCAGGTAAAAAGCGAGTGTTCCTCTCACATTGAAGAAAAGTTCAGAGGTTGCTAAAGCATTCAGGAAAATTTATGATGATTCCAATAACCCTCTTACATACCTGACACTTCTACAATGTGATGGTGGTAAAGAATTCATGGGCGAAACTGCTCAATTAATGGAAGCACATAATGTCACAATTCAAGTAATTGGTGCATATAGTCATCATGGATTAGCTCTTGTAGAATGATTCAATAAGACGTTAGCAGAGATGCTTTATAAAATCCAGTATGCCGTCAAATTGATATCTAAAAATCCTAAATTAATAAGAGAGTGGGTCAAGTATTTGCCAGAAGTTATTGATTACCTAAATAATTACCCCACACGCCTCATTTGAGCTCCGGGTTCATCAAAATGGGGTTTAGCTCCAGCAAATGCCATCAAATTAGAAAAGGTTGAATCTCGGCCATCCACAAAATATAAACATCCTGTTGGAAAAAATGAGGAGAATAAGTTAAAAAAGGGGGATAGTGTTCGTTACCTGCTTGCTAATGCAGAGTGGGAAGGAGGTATGGAAAATCAAAAACGTGCAACCGATCCCACATTCAGTCCAAGCATTCATAAAATTCGAAAAATTGTTGTAACGAAGAATGAACCAGTTTTATATTATCTCGGAGATAATGATGAATATGCTCCAAAATGTGGATTTGTGAGAGAGGAACTCTTATATGTGAATATTGACATGCTTCAGTATCCGCCCCAGAGTATATTGGAAGAAAATATTTGTTCCAGGTCTGTTAATTTCGTTTGTATTATTAATAAAATGGCTAAGGCTGAAGAGTATGCAAAGAAGCGTGATGGAGAATGTCTTGGTAAAACAGGCCAAATAAATAATTTAGATGTATATCTTTGGTCTTGTGAAAAGGGACTCAATCAATGGTATGCACCTTATAAAATCCAGAAGAAGAAATTCGAATGGTGCCCAGTTTGTCCACATTTTAAAGGGGAGCTATATTTTTGAAGAACTGCTAGGTAAAAAATTCCCATCACATAGGCCAAACTTTTTGGATGGGATGCAATTAGATGGATATAATGAAGAATTAAAATTGGCATGGGAATTTAATGGGATCCAACACTATAATCAGAATAGTTTATATCACAAAAATCAAGACGATCTAGAATCACAGAAGAGACACAACCAAAAAAAGCAGGATATATGTAAAAGACAAGGCATAGATCTCATTGAGGTGCCATTAGATTGTGATTTATTTCCGTACATAAAAAGCAAATTACAAGAGAGAGGTTATTTATCATATAAGAAATAAACTCATAAGATAAATATGGCACATAATAAACTTGACCCATGTGAGATCTTTGTACTCAATATCGATGAGTATACAAATCCAGAACGTTTTAATGGTATTAACTCATGCCCACAGTGGCCTTTCAATGTCCTAGTATCAGGGCAGACTAGATCAGGGAAAACCAATATGATTATTAGTCTTTTACTTGGGAATAAAATGTTTCAAATGTTTAGTGGAAAAAAGGGTGGAACAAGATATATTAAGAATGATGATTTGGTTTGTTCGGTCACCACCTTAAGGAGCCAAAATATAGACATTTGCGTGATTGTTACCAAACAATTTCAAATAGTCCAAAGCCATATCATGAAGATATTACATTCTGAGCATTGAAACCTGACAAAATACCAAAAATAAAGAATTCTCTCCCAAAAGAGGAACAGTTGCTATATTCGAAGATGTATGCAATGAGCCCAAAAAAATACAAGATAGAATTATTCCCTATTTTACCAAAGGGCGCCACTCATCAGGAAATTAATTTAGCGTAAACTTGCATAAATCTTACAATGCCGACGTAATATTGTGTAAATCTTACAGTGCCAACATAAGTTTTACACTTTTTTATTATTAAACTTACAATTGACACGTGTAAAATTTTTTTATATTTTCCGGATGCTCTAATATTAGCTCGATATATGTCACACAATCTTTCTTCGACTGTCCTGGAAAAATAAGAAAAAATTTGGATTACATTTGTTTATTTAATGGCGTGGGCACATATGATGAACTAGTTAACATTGCCTGACAATATACAAAAAAATTAGGGATGTTAATCAGTCCTTTTGGGACCAGGTCCTGAACAGTCTGGACCAGACTTTTTCAGGTCCAGTCCTGCCATTTGGGACTTAAAGTCCTAAAAGGTCCATGTGTAACCTTATGTGCAGATTTTGTTTGAACCTCAAAAATTCAGTATGACACAATAAGGGTTTGAAAAAAGAGTCCAAAGCAAATAATTATTATTAGAAGGTACTTTGATGCACCACCAGAAGAAATTGAATGTTTGGATTGGTATGCATCAAGAATAAAAGATCCTAATTATATAACTCTGTCACATATGGCAAAAGATTTTTTTCAATACAAGCCACAAGTGTGTCAAGTGAGCAAATGTTTTTAGCATTGCCAAACATACATTAAATCTAATTCGAAATAGGTTGGATTCAGAAAAAGCACAAGCAAGTCTATGAGTAAAGAGCTGGATTGAAGCAGAAATTGTTTCAATTTAATTTTGGTTTTTTTATTTTGTTTGTTTTTGTGTGTATATATATATATTTTATAATAATAAAATAATAAGTTTTTTTAGTTTCAATAATAATATGTTTAAAAAAACTTGGGACTTTTTCAGGACTTAAGTCCCAGGACTGTCCTGAACTGTTTAGGACCGATTAACATCTCTAAAAAAAATGGCGCGATGTTGTCAATATACTTGATAAAAATTTACAAGGTAGAGAATTTATTGTTATCGATTTAACTAGAGCAAAAGAAGATGCTTTATATCTTCGCAAGGGATGGGACAGACCACTTGATATTTCTAATGAATAGAGTGGGACTTTAAATATTCAAGGTATTTTTCTGCTTCTTGCAATTCTATCCTCTTTTCTTCAACCTCGGATCGCAATTTCTTATTAGCTTTGACACGTTCCTCATGTTCTATAGTAATTTCTCGCATAAATTTGCCAAAAGTTTGAGAAATCACATGCGCGTTCTTTTTCGGAACACTGATCACTTTAATACATGATCACGTTTTTCGAGTCCAGTTTTTTCCTTATATATTTTATATAACTTGGAATGAAGTTTATCGGATATCATGGTTGGCAAGTCAGTTAATTTAGAATACCAATCCAGATATTTGGGGGTTAGTACCTTATCAGACTTGACTTGTGAATTCATGTTGTCATTTATATAATTTCAAAGCAATTTAATTTCTCGGATATCACATAAAGCACATATTTTATTCTTTATTGCATACTAATGAGTTATAAAGCATAACGAAATGATAGGACTGCTTCAGTTTATGCAGTTATTTGAACAATGCACTGTTCACATTTAATATAGTAAGTTCCATCTTTATATTCCCCTTCTATGTCATCATGATCTAATCTGCATAATGAACATGATGTATTGTCAGTAATTCCATAATAATTGACATTTCCATCACTACACTCTTTATATAAATTAGGTTATTGATCCAATGTTTTGCTACAAAAATAGGATTGATCATAAGTTGGCTTAGATTGGGGTGCTTTCAGAGGAATATATGTATTAGTTGGATTAATTTTTGAAGTCACATGACTCTGATCGTGAAGAATCTTCATGGTTTCATTGTGTGAACTTGTTACTGAATTCACATAATCTATTATATCTTGGATTTGTTGGTAATTGAGACTTGAAATGGCATCTGTGCTATAAGAGACCTGTTTAATTTTCTCTAGTCCCAATGTATTGAATAATTTATATAATTTTCTAGCTCTAAGGATTTTTTGACGCAAATTCACATCTGTTATTTCAGGTAGAAGCTGTTTGATTTCTTGATATGCCATAGATGTTGCAGTTTTTTTCTTAACTCCACCAGCAACAAAGTTATCGATCCTTTTGTCATATTTTTCTATAAAGTAACACCAGTATAAAATTGCTTCTTGACCAAGTTTATTAGCTTTCTTGAACATGCAAACTATATTTTGTGCAGTATCTAATAGATGGATCCTGTTCTTCTGAAGTTTGATCTGATCTAGATGTATGTGCAGGTGACGATAACTGTTGCTTTAATTCCTGTTCCACAATTATATTTTTATCCAACTTGGTAATAACTTCACCATGCTGATTGGATTTAAGTTCCTCTATGCCACATGACTCCGATCGTGAAGAATCTTCATGGTTTTCAAGATTATATGCTAATTTGGATGCATTAACTTGTGGTTGCTTTGGTAAGATGCAATATGCTGAACTTATGCTCTCAGAACTAGCCTCATAAGATTGTGACAAGCCTTGCTCGTCTTGCTCTGAAGTTAACATGTCCGTGACTTCAGGAATTTTAGTCACATCCTGAGAAATTAAAAGTGCCTCATCAGGAAATTAATTTAGTGTAAACTTGCATATATCTTACGATGCCGACGTAATATTGTGTAAATCTTACAGTGCCGATGTAAGTTTTACACTTTTTTATTATTAAACTTACAATTGACATGTGTAAAATTTTTTTATATTTTCTGGATGCTCTTGATCTCTCTGTTTCTTTTCCTGCTTCCTCTTTCTAATCTCATTGCTAATGCTTTTCTTACACACCTCATCCAAGAAATCAACCATTTCCTCATCATTATTGAGTTGGTCTATTACAGAACCAGTACATCTACAGTTGTTACCGTCACCACTGACATCGCTTCTTTATCATTTTGTGTCTGACCAAATGACAACACCATCCCATCCACTGCTGAACCCTGTTCTAATAATGCAAGTCTAGCCTCAAGTTCTCTGACTCTAGACTTGAGTTCAGCATTCTCAGCATCACGCCTTGCATTCTCCTCAATAATTTGCTTCAACCTTGCATTCTCAGCCTCAACCTCAACAAATCTTAGTAGCTTCTCTCTAAGTTCAGGAATTTCAGTATTCTCCTTCCTAAGTTTGGCAATCTCAGCTAAGAGCTTGGTATTTAATTCTCTCAATGAATCAGTGGATTGCATGTTTGATAATATTTTTTATAAGAGATGGAATAATTCAAAAGTTCGAGTTAGTATAGTAATAGATAAAAAATCATGTGAACAATTGTTCATGTCCAATCACTTTTGCCAAGAAAAATTTTATTAATATTGTCACCAGAATGCGAATTGGACCTTAATTCGCTGATCAATAACCCTGAAAATCCGGAGTAATATTTTATATCTTATTTTTATATTATTTATATCATTTATTTATTTATTTATTATTTTTAGTT